GGGTTTTTGACTACCCTAGTAGCACCGGTATAAATAAGACCCCATGGCATCCAATTTTCGGTCACTTGAACCCTAAGATTCTTCATAGCCAACATTGTGCATCTACCCTCTCTCCAATATAATCCTCTTGCTTGTATGGTGTTTGTAATCCATTAGAGGAGTGATATTTGTGACTCTAAGCTCCAAGACAAGAAGATTCAAGCCATTGTTGAAGAGATAATCATCTAAATCTATATTCTTATGATTATTTCGAAATATGTATGCTAGATCTAGGGTTTATAAGTCTTGGATGAATTGCATGTACAATAGACAAACCTAGATCCAAGCTTTAGGGTTTGCATGTGTACATAGGATGTTCTTTTGTGTAAAACCCATCAAGAGTTACTGAGACTTCTCGACCTGTAAACCTCACTTTTTCATAAGAAGGAAGATTTTTTGTAGAGTAGTTGATGGCTAACTAACATTGAGGGTGCTTTTCACACCAATTCCTGTCCTTTAAAGCAAAGGTATCTTTGCCGGCAATCTTGTCGCGAGATGTAGCGAGAGAGATTGTTAGGGATTGATGAAGAAGTGGCAACCATAACCTAGGAAAATTTCGAAGGGATTCTTATAAAGAACTATATACCATTTGTAAAGATCAACAGAATAGCAAGAGTTCCTGATAAAGTAGTAGACTATATAATTGGTGAATGATATCACCAACAAATGTCTTGAAAAAGCATTATTGTGCGTAAATTTTGTGGCTACTGAGGATACGAAAATGATTCACTACACGAATATGCTAAGCGCTGATATTCGAGAATCATTTTTACCTGCAAGGTGCAAGACTTTCAACACGATGATAGAAATAGCTTGCGTTAGGGAACGCTTGGTATGTGAGTGACATGAAGATCTACTTCATGCTATGGGAAGGGTACACATGTTATTTATGAGATGTATAAAATATGCTAAGGTTGGAGAAGTGATATGTTATAATTTATATTGCGAGTTCTAGAAGCATAATGGGGACCTAGGAAAACTCAATACAATGATGAAGTGATTATTTCCAAAAGCATCCACATATTATAGAAAATTTCTTGGTTAAGTCAGGTAATATTTGAGAATTCACCTAGGTTCATCCTAAGATAAAACTATATATAAAGTAGTTTTAATAGAGGAGTGTATTTTCTTGAAAAGTAATGTTTGAAATTTGGGTAAAGGTTGTGATGAGGATCCATTTGCATGTTCTTATCTGATTGTTTCTTAGGGATTAGGGCATAAACCTGATTGATTTTTATAAGCTTTCAGAAAGAAATGCCAAGCAAGACGATGAACAACAGGCAACTTCAATAGTATGGGGATAGAAATTAAGAGACGTTTCAATCTTGACCTTGCATGAAAGGATCGATGACATGACCGAGTACTGTGATCGAATCATCATGGACTAGGTTATGTGTTGATGTAACAAGTGGAAAAGTTTGTAGTCCTAAAGGTAGCTGAGACCACATGAGGTTATTTTACTAATCCATAACTTAGAATTAACAGTTGTTGACTCTAAAGTATTTGAAGGCACTACCTGAAGGAGATAGTATGTATAGTATACACCAACTATAAGAGCCTTAGACACCTCATGGACTACCAGGTGCTGAGTATGAGGCGACGAAGGTTGTTAGATTTTTATAGATACAATGAATAAGAGAGAATTTGATATCTAGATAAAGCTAACATCATAGCATATTTTATGAGTTGGAGTAGAGTTATGCACCACTTTTAATTTTATTCATAATGATGATAGTGTTTATAGTACTCTTTGATAGGATTACGAAGGATGAATATTACGTTTCAAAGGATAAAAAACAAGATAAGGAGCCAATTAAAGGAAAGATTTCTAATCTTATTAAAGACAACTGAGAATGATTGGCTCAACATAACTATATTTTAATTCCATTCTCCATCGGGACCAGATAAATCCTTCTAGAGAAAGCTCCAAAGTCAGAATTTTCAATTTGCTCATGTTCTAGTACGATATACAGATATGTAAATGAAAGTTAGTCTTATCTGAGATTGAAGAGAAACATGGATAACTGTATAGAGAAATGCCTAAACATGTAAAAGGTTTAGCGTCATAAACTCCTTAGTAAACAACAATTGATAAGAACATATATGTTGATGTAAGGACTCATAGCCATAGATGTAATCATAAAGGTTGCCTAGAAACCTTAACTAATAAGATGTACTACTAGTAAAGTATGTAAATTGATCAATAATGCTTACTTAATAACAATGTGAGAGAGGTTCTTTGAGGAAGGCTAGCATACAGTTATGTCATAGAAGGTGGTATTCAGGTACAAGGTTTCAATTTACAATTATTCCATAAAGAATCTGGTTAATGTGATGATTTTGGAAGAATTCCAGTGATGTTTGGAGTGCTAAATGTGGTTTAAACAGTATATTGCTTTAAGATAGATGAAAGTGTAGTTGAATGTTTCAGACAACATGTTGTGATCATGTGTATTTGACCTTGATGTAGATGGGACAATCAAATTTCTAAGTAGAGTTAAGGTATGATAATAGGATGATATAAGCATATAGTTTTACAAGATGTAGTACATAAGAAAGAGAAGGATCTCTTTATGTCGAGAAAAGTAGGTCAAACAGTGTTTCACAAAGGAAAGTACAAATTAATCTGAGTAATTAGGATTAAAAAAATTTAAAGATCAAGATAACCTAAGTGACACTTTTGAGGGTATGAAATAGTTAAGCATATGAGGAAACTCAAATCAGTAATGGATAATGCTTGATCTTATAAATTGAGCATGAGGCAGATGAACACGGTTACGAGTCTAAGGACACATAAATAATGGTAGGATTTTCCACAAAAAAAATTAAGATTTAACAAAAGAAGATTGAGTAAACATTTTAGTATAAGCAGCCATAGAAAGATGTATCTTGATATATTAATTAATAAAAATTATGAATATTGTGCTAATACAAAATAAAATTTTAAAGCTTTATAAGTGAATTATATAAGTAGTATGCATTACGTAAAATTTAAAGTGCTTAATTAATAAATAATAGAAAATAATAATAATAATAATAATAATCATATAATAATAATAATAATAATAATAATAATAATAATAATAATAAAAACAACAACAAAAACAACAACAATAATAATAATTAATTAAGAAATTTATTATTAAGTGATTTGAAACCATTCGTAGAAAACGGGTTGGAATTGTAAAGTTTTGAATTGTCTTTTGTTAAGAATTTTGTTTAGAGGGTAGTTTCTGTCATTATCAGAAAGATCATGGGTTAAACTGAAATAAAGGGATTTCTTTACTCTTACTCAAGAATGGAAGAAAATGGCCACCCTGATCAAGCTTTGGTTGAACAATACCATTAAAACAACCCTTCTCTTGTAATGTCCCAAAACTCAAACGGAACGAGTTAATCAAAATTATAAAGGAATCATAGTGTATCTGTAAAATCCAAAATACATCACAGTCAATAAAGCAGAGAAATCATGGTGTATGCAATGTGATCATCTATAACTCTTCCATTCGAACCAGAGGTACCTTAAAACATAACTTAAAAACCATATGCACAAAGCTTAGTCAGTTCCCCAAAATACCACATATCATACATATAATGGGCCATGCTAGTAACTTGCGAAGAGCCCCGCCCAACACATTTATTAGGCCTCGCCTCGCATCGGCCCCCGCCCGGTATACATACAAACATATACAATACATACAAGAGTCACAAAGATAACTAGAATAATATAACATGATCAAATGGGGAAACATTGGTGCCTTCTACCAGCAAGTACTATGAGAAGACTCACCTCAGTTTGCTGATAAATAGATAATACTCGAGCTACTGATACGAAGGCTCCTCACACTAAATACATATAAGTTGCGTTAATTAACAATTAAAACATATAATCAATATCAAGGGCCTAAATAATCATCGTTCTCTCCCTTAGGGTAAAATATCATTTTACCCTTTTAAGTCAAGACGTTACCAAAACACCCTAAAACCCAAAAATGAACAAAATCAATCTCGGGAAATGATTCAAGCCGCAATATTGATCAATAATCCTAACAACAAGTCTCATGTCGTGACCAAACCTTGGTCACATTGTGAGAGTCACTTGATCTAATTCTAATGACTCAGTCCTGACCCGGACAACTCGACAAGGACAGTTTATCATACTCACGTCGTGAGACCTCGTGTCTCACGTCTTGTGAATGGTTTGAAGCTAAATCCAAAGTTAAATTTTCTTAATGCATTCAACCTTCAAACTCAACACTTATAAAAGCTTATGGGGACCCTAAAGGTCTATAAAAATGCTTGTTTTACGGACATGCATGCATCATGCATGTCCCTACACCGTTCTTGGTCAAAAGTAGAAATATGGCCTCAAGTTCTCATGCATGCTTATAATACTTCACCAACTTCTAGATCTTGATCCTAAGATACTCAAAATACCATTTGAATTCATAAAGTTGCTAACTTTATGGATCTTCTTCACTCCAACTAGCTAAAACTTAAGGAATTGGGATCAAAACTCTAGATCTAACAATTAGATGAAATAAAAATTGAGTCTTCAGGAAAAAGAGTTGATGACAATGATGCTTACTTGCAACTCCACCACAATGATACTTCTTTTTCTTCTTTTCTTTTCCTTCAAGCAAGCAAAAAACCAAGAATGGCCAAGTATCTCAAAGAGAGTTGTAATCATAGTTACCAGGAGGCTAGAGAGTGAGAGAGGCTGAGGATGGGCAACCCTAGCCTCTCATTCCATTGAATACTCAAACATTATGGTTTTGGATCCTCAGGTCGTGCTCATGTCGTGATACCTCATGCCTCATGTCATGAGATTAAAAGGATACAAGTCAACTAGTCAATGATCACTCACGAAGTAACCACCATATCTCACGTCGTGAACCTCTTCCAAAAGCTAGAAAATCAAGAAATTAAGTACCTCGAGGATCTGGATGTTAAAGATCCAAATGGTGTTCAAGCAGGGTGTCACTGCTCACGGTGACTGGGTGAGTATCGAGGACCTTTTCCGAGATAACAAGGACACGTGTGTCCTGCATTTAGATCAAGAAATTTGTTCCATAGAGATCGATGATATTTTGGGCATTGAGTATTATAAAAAACGCAAACTCTTTTTTGATCTTCTTGCCATCATCGAGCAGCCGATACCCAGAAAAAAAACATGGTCGCCTATATGGCGAATGAACTTTGAAAGAAATTCGACCAAGTTTCAGGTATTATTCTCCATCAAAACCCACTACCATCCGTACTTCAAGCATGTTCAACGCTTCTTCTTGAAGAAATCCGACTCTCTCGAGTATGACCTATCCAAGTAATTCACTACAATAACGCCTCTTCTCCAACTGTCATGCTCGTCTTTCCCTCCAAGAGGTGAAAATTGAAACAACCAGCAGAATAATAATGATAGGACTCGGGAGAACTCTGACCAGTGTAACAATGACAGAGGTGATCGTCGCGGAGGTGATCGTCAGTAGCCTCACCATGAGCATCGGCAACGTCCTCCTTTTCCACCATCTGCTTGGTTTCCATGGGTAATTCCTCCTCGATAGATGTCTTAGCTCCAACAAATGACCCAGCATAACATGCTATATCTCCTCAGTAATAGCGATGAGCTTTAGGCATACCTCAACCTCTAAATAATTGGACCCCAAATAAAGGCGATGGATTTTCTCAGCAATCACAAGCATTCCAACATCCAGTTTCCTTTCATACTAGCTTCCCCACATCAGATGCAATTGATCAGCCTACTACTATACCTGAGGTGTTTCTTACATTAAACCTTCAAGAACCAATGAATTTCAGTTGGTTCGTGCACACAGGTGCTACAAACCATCTCTCGGCAGGTACGAATAATCGTCAAACTATAAAATAATCTCCCTATATCATCAATGCCCATTTGTGACAAGTCACCCATACCCATCACAAACACGGGACATAGCATCCTTCTGATACCTCATCAACCTCTTCACCTTCACAACATTCTTGTTATGCCAAATATAATAAAAAAGTTTGATCTATCTTTGCAAATTTACTACTGATAATAATTGTTCCATTGAATTAGACAAAATTGGTTTGTCTATGCAGGACACTTGGACTTATAAAATGCTTCTCCGATGTGATAACACTGAAGATCTTTATCCAGTTCAAGATCTCAAGTCTCTTCCTCAAGCATTCATCTCTTCAAGACCTACAACATGACACCGATGGCTCGGACACCCCGAGAGCAAATGCTTCGTCATTCGTTTTCTAGTAATTTGATTTCTTGTAACAAAAAAATTCATAAATTATTGTGAAAAGCATGTCAAATGGTAATGCATGTTAATCTCCCATTTTTTGGCTTCTAATAAAATCATGAACTCTTCGTTTGATTTGATTCATTCCGATATATGGACTTCACCTTTACCTAGTCTAAGTTCTCTCAAATATTATGTCATATTTCCACATCATTACTCACATTACCTATGGGTTTACCCTCTTAACTGAAAATGTGACACCATGTAAAAATTAGTTCATTTTCGCACATTCATCCGTAATCAATTTAATTTTGATATTTGTGCTTTTTAATGTGACCTTAGTGGCGAGTTTAATAACAATACCATTTGTGACATCTTTGGAAACAATGACATTCATATTCATTTCTAATGTCCAAAAGCATCCCAACAGAATGCAAAATCTAAACACATGTTCTGAATAATTAACAACCTTGTTCGGTCCCTTCTTTTTCAATCTCATCTCCCACCCACATATTGGGTGGAAGCTCTCTACATGGCGGCGCGCCTCATAAACTGCCTTTCATCCAAATATATGGATAATGGCACATCACACCATAAACTTTTCCAAAATCAACCTACATATGACCACCCTAGTGTCTTCGGATGCTTGTGTTACCCACACTTACATCCACCCCACAAACTTTCCTCGACGTCCACTCTATTTGTTTTTCTCAATTATCCCGAAAATCATTGCGATTTTCAATGTCTTGATCTCAACACCAAAAAGGTAATTATTTCTTAACATGTCACATTTGACGAATGTGTCTTTCCTTTTGCTTCCATGACACCTAACTCCCTCAATATCATGATTTCCTTCACCCAAATTGTAACAATTTGTAAGTCCCCAATCTGCTTGTGTATCTATCAGATCCAATTGATGGTGCGGAATCCCAATCAATTGGATGACGTCAGATCAAAATAGAAGAGAATGAGAAGAAGAATAACTTGAATCTTGAATGTATTGATGATATGAATTAAGTTCTTTACAGAAGATTCATTTTCTCTCTCTAGAACACACCTTAAGTTTTACACACTTAAGCTCCTCTCAACCTTCTTCACTTATGCAATCCTCACCCTATATATATGAGACACGGGCCACCAGTAGCATACGAGTGTACAGCTGCACACGCGTTTGCGGCCGTACACAGGGTGTGCAGCCGTACACAACCACAAAACTACATAAAAATATATTTTCATAGAAAAGCAAAGTATAATCCAATATTTATAGACCCAACAATCTCCACCTTGGTTTATAGCTTTCTTTTCTAGTTGACCCAACAAGCCCCCCCCCCCCCCCCCCCCCAAAAAAAAAAGTAGTTGGCTTTTCTTGTTGATCTTTATTTGGAGCTTGACTTCAGCTTTTATCTTCGATATCTTCACAGATTCCAGATGAACATATGAGTCTTCAATGAATGACTTCATCTCGAGCGGTTGGGCTTTTCTTCAAAATATGATATTGAACGCACATTGGGTGAGCAGGCTTGATGTACTGATTCTTGAAAGATAACACTTTCAGGTTGAGAATCTTCAGAGATAACATTAGAGAGAAAAAATCCTCTGGATCACTTTAGCAGGTTCAAGATAGCAGCAGACTGATTGAGGAGGCTTTAATGTAATCCATCACATAATCTTCAAGTCTGTTTCACCTTGCTTCTCTGGTTGATGGTTTGAATGTTGGAAGAATAATCTTCATTTCTTGCTCCTTCGAATGAAAATTCTTCGATGATCACGGATGAAGCCTTGGCTCATAAATCTCGATACAGTCTCCATGAGTCTCGTCTACACCTGAATTCACTTTTCAAGACAAAACAAAACTAAAAGAAAACTTAAAACAGAAACAATACTATTGTTGGATTTTTAATTTCTGATTTTTGTTTGATTTTTGATTTTTTTTTATATTTGAAATTTTTTTAATTCTCCCCCTAAATTTGTGCATAGAGGAAAACTATGAACAAATTTAACAGAAATAGAAATATTTGAGATCAAAGTTGTGAGACAGTCTTAACTTTGTTTATCAGTACCTGCACCTTCATGAATAGATCTGGTCAATCTCCGGTATTGTGGTCCACTTAAACATGAAGGATATTGACAAACTTTTCTAAATAAACCATTTAGCTGATGACAACCGCAAGTATTGTTTTCCACTTAAATTAAGCAGCGAGATCTATAGACAACCTCTAAATGGTTCAGTTTTAGTTGCACTAGAATGTATTCCCCACTTCCCGATATAACCTAGTTATCAAGAACTTCCTAAGGACTTCTTACTTTAGGTGAGTAAACAATTAGTAAGGAGGATGTATGATTTAGAGATAGATGCATATGTTGTGTCCCATGACGGATCTCTTTCAGAGGGGAAACATATGGGTAACTAGAATAGAGGGCTTGAGAGGTAGAATGTTGAATATGCTGTGTCCCAGGTCGGATATTTCGATCACGCAGAGGGGATAACATATGGCTCACAGATAGAAAGAATTGCACAGATAAAGAAGATGCATAGAAATAGAGTTGCATATGTTGCAATCTAGGTCAGATATGTTATAATCATGCAAAGGAAGGAACATATGACTGATAGATTCAAAGCATTAAAATAATTTCTATAGACCTACTTTATCAGAACCCCCGGTCGCCCTATCAGAACCAGAATTAAGGACATAAGTCCATACATCAAGGAAAAGTTGAACCACTATTGTAGATGCGTATTATTTTACTGAATTCTGTAGGTTCCCGTGTTTATCTCACAAGTCAATCTACTCAAGCATCGTATGGTCAGTCTAAGAAATCCTAACTAAATCCACACTGTGACAACCCAAAGTTTATTCCATTACATTAGCCCGTTTCCAATAACGGATATTCCATCTTATGAAAGTTCCATTAATTTAAGGTCGTCAAATAAATAAATGTCTTATTTATTTATATATTTTATGTCATTATCATCGTGATAAATAAATAAAAACACGTAAATTACATTTCCATATTAATTTGGAAAAAGTTAATTTTATTACGACCACTAAATCGGGTGCGACCAAAAGCCCCGTTTAACGGCAGTATTGGGTAGATTTCCACTGAGCTTCAACTTCAACCCATATATAATGGGGAATGGACTTCATTCCACCCTTTTTCACTCTCTCTCTCTCTATACTCTCTCTCATAAAAGTCCGATTTCGTCTCAAATCCGCAAGTTTCCACCTCCAAAACGTAAGATCTTCTACCCTAACTTGTTTTAGACATTGTTTAGTGTTGTTTTAACATAAAAATCACCCAAGAAAGCCAATTAGAAGGAGTTCACGGCCTAAGAACCTCCTTAAGCCGTAAACACCCCTAATGGTGCCAAAATGCACAAAACTCCCTCCCTTAGGCTTGGAAACTAATTTAGGATTAAGCCTAGAAGTGTTTGAACCTCAAATCAACATGTTTAGGGGCTTGAAAGAGGGTTTATGACCCAAGAGCATTCTTAGGCCGTAAACTCCTCAAAATATGAAAATCAAGCCTCAAAATCACTCCCAAACCACCCTTAGGCTTAAGACATAAATTAGGGACTTGCTATTTCGGGTTTGGAGCAATTAAACACAAAGAAATGAGGGTAAAAAGGAATTTATGGCCCAAGCACATGCTTAGGCCATAACACCCCCAAAACCATGTCAAATGATAGTTTTTGTCCCCTAAATGGCCTTATACCTTCATTATAAATCACTAGGATTGAATCAAGGGCTTAAAACTTCAATAAAACCAAGGGGTAGGATTTCACGGCTGTGAACTCCCATAGGGGTGGTTTGTGGGCCGTAAACTCCCATATGGTCCCTTTAAACACACTAAACCCACTCATACATTTTAGATTTGGACCTAGCTAAATTCCACGATAAATATAAGGCCTTTAAGCATCCTAGAACACCCTCACCATGAGTTTACGACCGTAAACTCATGGGGAGTTGTCCCAGGGCTGTAAACACTATATGGAGAGTTTACTCTTGGAGAATAAACTACATTCCTAAGCCATTCACACCCTTAAATGTTACCCAGGACACCCCAAAGACTTAACCAAAGTG